GAATCGTACGGTGTCGAATAATTTGGTGTCGAATAAATCTGTGTCGAATCGAGCGGTGTCGAATCGTACTGTGGTCAATAGAGTATCACCCAAATCTAGTCACGTAGCATGATCGTAGCAATCTAAAGTCAGTCAGCATGAATTCAGCATTATATTGCCAGTGCATATACATATACTTTTTAAGAAAATACTCTGAGTGACATTTTGTGAATAAAATAAAGATTTTTCTTGGAAAATTGTTGTTGGCGATTTGTACATTACAACATACAGAAGCATCAAGAAGCACGGTAGTGCCTCACGCCAAGTTCACGCGCAACAAAGTGGCGCACGAACTGCCTCTTATACGCAAAATTCAGCTAATAAAAGAGAGCGGAGATTTTCACAAACTAATATTTGTAAGTCAACGACTGAACAAATCAATTTTGTATTAGTCTTAATCGAGATTGAGAATGAAACATTAAAAAAAAAAAAGGAGTAATCTTGCGTTTTTTTAGTCTGTGGCTTTTGAACGGAGATAATGGAAGATAAACAAAGAAGTGTGTGAAATTTACAATCAGAAACGTCATTATGGTTGTCATGGTGCGACCAAATTGTTGTCATGTTCGTACGCCTGCTGCCAGATTGCATGCATGTGCGGGCGAGTTAAAAGAAGAAAAAGAAAGAAAGACAGGAAATGTGAGTTAGAGAGAGAAAGAGTAAAGCAAGAAGCACGGTAATGGTTTGCGTTATTCGCGCCGACAACACCTCCGATATACCTTTTTTTTAATAAACTATTTTAAAACTTGACACACAGTAAATACAAACTACATATTGTAAAGAAAGTTAAAAAATCACAGAGCCTATGGTCCAGGAAGGAGGTGGACAATCAATTGACGTAAAATAAAACGCAGTGTATACCGAACGTTTCGATCATTTATTGTTGATTATATTCAGCATTGTTTAACATAATGATATAATTAAATTTAAAAGATTAAAAAATTACAGAGTGAAAATATGAAAAATATTCGTTAAAGAAAATGACAAATACAAAATAAATAAATACGCACGCACCTAGTTCGACTAGTCAACGAAGACCGCTCAGTGCACGCCGGCAAGAACACGAATCGAAACAAAAAATGACATAGATATGCTAAACGAAGTATGATGTCCATGTATCAAGGTCTACCAAGAAATAAATTAAGAATAAATAATATGTGAATATAAGTTAGTCACCAAGTGAAATACAAATTTTAATNCAAGGAAAAAAGTCATTGTTTATAAAAGTCAAAGTATAAAAATGAAATCAATAAAAAGTTTTTTAAAAAAATCAATAAATGAGATGCATTAAATCAAATAAGAGTAACACTTACTTATAACTTTAGAATTGTTAAAACTATTAAATTGTCGTAGTTCTCGTCCACACACAAAGAAACGGAACAAAATCTGACCATCTCACAATACATATGACACACGTATGAGAGATGCCCGAAATAACGCATAAAACCAAACTCAAAAAATATAGAGAGGGAGGAGAGAAAAACGGCACGTGAGAAGGAACACGTGACTACCGAAGCTTCTTAAAAACAAGAGTGTAGATATCATCAAAAAGTTCGGTTCTTTCATTAAGTTGACACTCGCCTTCTGGGTTTTTATATGTAACATTTCCGAGATAAGTCTTTTATGATAAAATTGCTTCTTATCTGAAATTTCAATCTTATCCCACTGGAAATCATGGCCAAGATCACTACGGTGTCGACTACCAACAGACTGCCGTTCGTAATTCTGGTAAAAATTACGTTGATGCTCTGCTAATCTTGTCCGTAATTGTCTTCCTGTTTGGCCTACATAAGAGGTCTTACAAGAGGAACAGGTAATCTTATAAATTATTAATAGAATGATATAAGATGTGATTTCGGGTTTGTAATTGAAAATTAATAAGTTCTGTATGTAGGCTGTTCGAACCAAGTGGCAAGATGTTTGGCCGTAAATTAAACTCAAATGATTAATCCAGACGTTTCAACTTTATTTTTAAGTCATCATTGGTGAAACAACTAACAATATAAATTACATAGTATAAAGAACGCTTTGGCACATATATTCGTGAAGTACAAGATGTAATAAATGAGAACATATCATTGAATGAATGACAATCTTTCAAAGCAATGAGATTGATGACGAGATGTATGTCAGTGTGTGTCGTAACAGTCAATTTTAAAAAATGATCAATACTGTGCGTCGAAAGAAAGTCAACGTGTATAAAAGCATGGGATTGTCAAAAACCAGGGTTGGGTAAGTTAAGTTTTGTTTTTAACTAAGTTAAGTTAAAGTTAAAGACNTTGAAAATGTAATTTAGTTAAGATACTAGTTAACCCATAATAAAATTAATTGATTAAAAGTTAAGTTAATAAAAAGNAATTAAAAAGTTAAAAGTTAAATGTTTTTTTTTTCATGAATTCAGTGTTTTAATCTTAAAATAACAAAAATAATAAAAATAATAAATATACACTTAATTTAGAAATATACTTCATATACGAATTAAATAATTAATTTAGAAATATACTTTTTGTATAGTTTAGAAACTGTATATATTTTAGAAATTATAGAAACATACATTATTTTGATACATTAGTTTGTTTATAGATAAATCGATATATTTATAAATATATTTCTACAGATATATATTTTTTGTCTACAGATACATATTTATTACCTGCCGACCGAAGCTTAGGGAATAGAAACCCAGGGACTGGCGTCTGGCAGCTGAGGTTGTTTTTCCAAAGGGAGTTGAATGAGCTGTGAAGATCTTCTCTCCCTATAAATCACTTGGACCGGATGGAATCTACCCGGTTCTTCTCCAAGAGGGGCTGGGAGTTCTCATAGGTCCACTCACAAAAATCTTCAGGGCTAGCATAGCCATAAGACACGTCCCCCAGGCTTGGGGTGGTACAAGAATAGTCTTTATACCCAAATCTGGTAGAAATAGCCATATAGCAGCCAAAGACTTCAGACCGATCAGTCTCACTTTCTTTGTACTGAAAACACTGGAGAGACTGGTCGATAGATATCTGAAAATTGGCCCTCTGCTAGTACATCCGCTGTCTCCGGCTCAGTATGCCTACAGGGCGGGCAGATCAACAGATACTGCCTTGCACCATCTCGTGAGCGGAGTCGAAGTGCAGGTAGAAGCAAAGGGATATGCCCTGGGCGTCTTTCTGGACATTGAGGGAGCTTTTGATAGCACCTCATATGATGTCATTAGGGAAGCAATGACCGGGCATTACATTCCCGCTGCTCTAGCAGACTGGACACAAAGCATGCTAATAGGAAGAACTCTGATTGCCAATCATAGGGACTCAACTGTGCATGGTTTCTCCGCTAAAGGATGCCCGCAGGGAGAAGTTTTATCTCCCCTGCTCTGGTGTCTGGTCGCGGATAAACTTCTACGAGAATTACAGAAGAAAGGCTTCCTTGTCTTTGGTTACGCTGACGTGGCTATTATAGTGCGAGGTATTTTTCTTTCAACACTTAAGGAAACTATGCAGAAAGTCCTTAAGATCATGCAAGACTGGTGTCAATCAAAAGGACTTAGGGCTATCCACTAAAGATCATGGCCATGATTTTCACCATGAAATACAAATCTGAAGCCATTGAGCCGCTTAGACTCTGGCGAGAAGATATAGAATACGTCTAGTCAGTAAAATATCTGGGAGTCCACTTAGACACCAAACTGAATTGGAAAACACATCTCGATATAAAGAGATCCAAATTCTACGCCTCATACTGGGCGTGTAGAAGAGCAATGGGAAAATCCTGGGGTATTAAACTAAATACTGCCCTATGGATATACAAAGCGGTACTTGTACCGAGGTTAACATATGCTGCTGTTGTTTGGTGGCCCAGAGTGGAAAAGATGGAATCAAAGAACCTACTAAAAAGCCTACAAGGTAATTACTTAAGGGCTGCGGTAGGGACTATGAGAACGACACCAACAGAAGCGCTGGAAGTGGCACTCTGCATTCCACCTCTAAGATTGACTGTCATCAGCGCTGCCAAACTCACAGCATATAGACTAAGGTGTCAGGGGGAGTGGAGAGATTTCGGAGTAGGTCATACCAGGCTTGAGTTTCTTCACAAACCTCCTTTTACCTTACAGCAAGATAGAATATCCAGAATACGCCAAGTGGACAAGGCGTTCTCCATAAACTTGACCACTAGGGCGGACTGGAAAAACAAAAATCTTCAGATCCAGCTGGGCACTCATGCATGGTTTACTAATGGATCTGGAGCAAACGGCTGCTATGGAGCAGGCATCTACTGTCCAGGATCAAATCACAGAGAGTTTTTTTCTCTGGGTAAATTGGCCACGGTCTTTCAAGCGGACGTCCTGGCTATTCTGGAATGTGCAAGACTCCTACTCTCAAGTGAGACGAAAACTAGGAGGATCAATATCTATACGGATAGCAAAGCAGCCATAGGAGCTCTTGCCAAGACCACCATTGAATCTTTAGTGGTTTGGGACTGTATGCAAGCTCTACACAGATTGGGCGAGCGAAACAACATCACGCTTGTCTGGGTACCTGGCCACCAAGGTATCCAAGGAAATGAAGTGGCTGATAGTCTGACAAAACTGGATACCGTAGAGGAACCAGTTTGCCAGATAGTTGGAGTTCCCTTTGCAACAAGGAAAAACCATATCAAGGACTGGCTGAAAAGGGAGCACAAAATCTCTTGGGAGATACTGAAGAGCTGCCGCCAAGCTAAGGCCCTGATGACTCAGCCATTGCCAGGTAGAACCAAAGAACTACTGACAATGAATAAGTACAGGCAAAGACTGTGTATCGGTCTCTTCACAAGGCATTGGACCTTCAAGGCACATTTATTCAACTTAGGTCTAGTTGAGGAGAGTAGTTGTAGATTTTGTGGCGAGGAGAGGGAGGACAGCGTGCACATATTGTGTCGCTGCCCGTCTCTAGCACTCAAGAGATTCAGATTTTTGGGCTCCATGTTTGTGGAGCCCGGGGACCTAAAAATAATTAAAATCGGCCATCTGTGTAGCCTGGCAGCAAATGCCGGGGTTTTAGCAGCTTGGTCGATTAACAACTAGCGGGAGTCGCAAAGGATCTTAGAGATCTAGGTGACAATAGGATCTCACAAGCCCCCCGCTCTTCGTCATTTATCTATCTCTCTATCTACATATTTATTATATATATATTTTGTTTACAAAAACTTATTAAATTTAAGTAATAAAGCCATTTTGAAATTTTTATCTGACATTATTCCTCAAAGATTATCAAAAACGAGTTCTCCTGCACTGAACGTTCAACGTTCGTTAAACTGAAGATAGTATTTATGCGTTATATTTGATAAAAGCACGTTTGAGTGCTTTAGGAAAATCATTTTCCGTCATAAATATATCGGTCGACAAGTAAATGTGAATAATATAATCTGTTGTAATCATAGTTTTGGTTTGGTTCTGATCTAGCGTCTTATTATTAAGTATAAAAAAATTATCGGATTTTAATAAGATCTGTTCTTTGAATGTACTTGAATGAACTTCTGCATGGTTGTTGATGTTAAACTCCCGAACACTCGATTTTATAAATGTAGCAAACCTTTTGTTTTTGTTTTCATCCTACATTCAGAGCAATGTAACATATAGAACACGTTCCGTTTCATGCAAATGCGCGCATGATCTATAATATACGTAACGTGTACTATAAATAAATGCGCGCATATGCATGAAACGGAACGCATTCTATAAGCGTCTTACAAAAACTGTAAACACTGTCGATCACGTTGCGTTGGATTTCACGACAACGTTTATTGGCTCAATTTTCAAACATATACGANATGGATCTGGAGCAAACGGCTGCTATGGAGCAGGCATCTACTGTCCAGGATCAAATCACAGAGAGTTTTTTTCTCTGGGTAAATTGGCCACGGTCTTTCAAGCGGACGTCCTGGCTATTCTGGAATGTGCAAGACTCCTACTCTCAAGTGAGACGAAAACTAGGAGGATCAATATCTATACGGATAGCAAAGCAGCCATAGGAGCTCTTGCCAAGACCACCATTGAATCTTTAGTGGTTTGGGACTGTATGCAAGCTCTACACAGATTGGGCGAGCGAAACAACATCACGCTTGTCTGGGTACCTGGCCACCAAGGTATCCAAGGAAATGAAGTGGCTGATAGTCTGACAAAACTGGATACCGTAGAGGAACCAGTTTGCCAGATAGTTGGAGTTCCCTTTGCAACAAGGAAAAACCATATCAAGGACTGGCTGAAAAGGGAGCACAAAATCTCTTGGGAGATACTGAAGAGCTGCCGCCAAGCTAAGGCCCTGATGACTCAGCCATTGCCAGGTAGAACCAAAGAACTACTGACAATGAATAAGTACAGGCAAAGACTGTGTATCGGTCTCTTCACAAGGCATTGGACCTTCAAGGCACATTTATTCAACTTAGGTCTAGTTGAGGAGAGTAGTTGTAGATTTTGTGGCGAGGAGAGGGAGGACAGCGTGCACATATTGTGTCGCTGCCCGTCTCTAGCACTCAAGAGATTCAGATTTTTGGGCTCCATGTTTGTGGAGCCCGGGGACCTAAAAATAATTAAAATCGGCCATCTGTGTAGCCTGGCAGCAAATGCCGGGGTTTTAGCAGCTTGGTCGATTAACAACTAGCGGGAGTCGCAAAGGATCTTAGAGATCTAGGTGACAATAGGATCTCACAAGCCCCCCGCTCTTCGTCATTTATCTATCTCTCTATCTACATATTTATTATATATATATTTTGTTTACAAAAACTTATTAAATTTAAGTAATAAAGCCATTTTGAAATTTTTATCTGACATTATTCCTCAAAGATTATCAAAAACGAGTTCTCCTGCACTGAACGTTCAACGTTCGTTAAACTGAAGATAGTATTTATGCGTTATATTTGATAAAAGCACGTTTGAGTGCTTTAGGAAAATCATTTTCCGTCATAAATATATCGGTCGACAAGTAAATGTGAATAATATAATCTGTTGTAATCATAGTTTTGGTTTGGTTCTGATCTAGCGTCTTATTATTAAGTATAAAAAAATTATCGGATTTTAATAAGATCTGTTCTTTGAATGTACTTGAATGAACTTCTGCATGGTTGTTGATGTTAAACTCCCGAACACTCGATTTTATAAATGTAGCAAACCTTTTGTTTTTGTTTTCATCCTACATTCAGAGCAATGTAACATATAGAACACGTTCCGTTTCATGCAAATGCGCGCATGATCTATAATATACGTAACGTGTACTATAAATAAATGCGCGCATATGCATGAAACGGAACGCATTCTATAAGCGTCTTACAAAAACTGTAAACACTGTCGATCACGTTGCGTTGGATTTCACGACAACGTTTATTGGCTCAATTTTCAAACATATACGAAGTGTTTGTCTATAATTCTTCAGTCCATAAGTATATGGTCATACGCCAAAATACAATCCGTTTTATATGCTAACAACTTCGCGCAAAAATCAAAATCTTATGGCGTGGCCTAACTTCAAGAGATTTAAACGAATATTTAAAAGTTACCGATAAAATATAACTAAATTAAGTTAAAAATTAAGAGCCCAAAAGTGTAACTAAGTTAAGTTAAAATTATTACACTTTTAAACTTTTTAACTTAATGGAAGGTGAGAACAGGACCTTACGAACCGGTTGCAGGGTGTTGTGCAAAATAATTCAATTTGACTAGTGTCCAGACGTTTCGACTTTATTGATTTGAGTCATCTTCAGTGAACATTCTAATATAATTTACAAACCAAAAACATTTATATGAAATTATGTTGATAATACAATTGTTTACAAAAATAAATAGTCGGACAAATATTTTTATGTTATAATATAAGACAAAAGTTTTACATATTATTCAACTGCATTGTTAGAATATATAATTGATAGTATAAATACCTTAATTTTCACAAACTTCACTCACATATGACGATCATCTTGCGAAAAAAGAGTGTCAAAAATTGTATGTCATTGCAAGGAGCTCGTCGATACTGAGAGAAGACATGAAGTCGAGGTTTGAGAACGTTACAAGAACAATAGTAGCTCCATCTACTAACTATACAGCACTTTGATACTAAATTTTATTGAGAATAGGAAGATAAATATTATCCAAACTCTCCGTGTCCTGCATTATATTAATGCTGTTTTTTTGTAATTTTATATGCAGCATCTCGTAGGTTGTTCTTTTAAAAAAATTAGATTCAGTATCCAAACTGGATACTGAGTTCCAATCAAATGACTGTCCTGTATTCTGACAATGTTCGGCTATTACAGAAGTTTGTTGTGCAGATCTTACATAATACTCATGTTCTTTTACTCTAGTCTGTAGTTGTCTTTTAGTCTGTCCTGTGTAGTTAGCATTACAAGAACAACACTTAATACTGTAAACAACGTTTTTTTTTTTTTATGTATGGGATTTTATCTTTTTGTGGTTTGATAAATTTATTCAGTTGATCTGAGCTTCTGTAAGATAGTCTAATTTGAGACTGATTGATTTTTTTATTATTAAAGAAATTTAGGTTATATTTTTTATTAGAAGGTATAAATGGAAGTAAGAAATAAAATAAAGAGTTATCTTCACTGTGTCATTAATCACAGGACTTTCATTGTTTTTAAGTTTGGTGGTAAAAAGATATTTTAGTCTTCTTCACCTTCTTCACCTTCTTCACCTTCATTGAAATATACTTAGGTAGACAAACCAAACAACTTATGAAAAGATGGATAAACATCAAATTTTATATTATCAAAAGAAAATTGCAAATATTCTTTCTACGTAAATGCATAAATTCGCACTTAGTTCCAAATCATATTAAAAGATCTAACACAAACCAACCTGTGTTAAAAAATCATAGAAACTTAAATACATATAACACAGTCACAAACAAATATCAATTTAAAATTTTAAAATTAGAACCTAATGAAGCGTACAGGAACATGGAACAGAAATTACATTTTTTAAATGAAACTACGAGAGATTTATACAGATTAACCCCTGTTAATATCTTATGCACTTTTTTTATTACTCAAGAAGAAAAAATGCACAAACATTTTTTTTAAACAAAACAAAAACTTATCAAAAAACTTTTACAATTAAAAAGCAATAAGTTTAAACAAATTAAACCGATCACTTATTACGTGAAACCAAATAAAAACACCATATCAAACAAAAAAACTAGTTTTCATGAAAATCACGAGTTTAGTTTACAAAATTTTAACACAAATGATACAATTAAAGTCCAAGTCAAACCTGATGAACAAAGTGCACGAGATGATAGTGTAAATGAAAAATGGTTCATAAACCTTACCAACAAAATTTTACCCCAACAAGTATCTGATTTATTACAGTTTGGCGATAGATTCTCTCTGCCTTCTAAACATAATAAAAACAAAGTAACACTGGAGGTTATCAAAGATGTAGAAAACAATATTAGAAAATTTGATCCCATATCCAAATCACAAATTCGTAAATACATTGCTTCATTTTTAAACACTTATATTAAGGATACTACTCCACTTTCACATATTGAATGCAAACTATTATCTAAGTCGAAAACCGTGTCTAGTTTTATTAAAGCTAACCCTGACATTATTTTTACAAGAGCGGATAAAGGCAACTCGACGGTAGCAGTCTTAAAAGATGATTATCTCAGAGCTATAACCGACATGCTTAACGACACTAATACATATACACTTATCAAAAAAGATCCAACACATTCCATAGAAAATGATTTGCGTGATATCCTTACTAGATAGCTTTCAAAAAATTATATTGATAAAAATACCAAAGATTATTTAAAATCCAATGATTCTTTGCTTCCAAGGACATATGGAGTGCCAAAAATTTACAAAATAAATTGCCCTTACAGAATTATTATTTCTACACTTGATAGCCCTTTACATAGATTTGCGGTTTATTTACATAAAATTTTACACAGGAGTGTTCCAAACTCTCTGTTTTTTATTAAAGATAGCTTCCACTTGCATAATATCTTAAACGGTCTCAGACTTGAAAAAAACTATATCTTGTGTTCTTTTGATGTTACGTCATTATTT